TGGTCGATACATTCTACGGCTTTCTTCTAGTGCTTAAGTATTGTGCAGTATTTTTTTAATGTCATTAAAAATACATTATTTTAGTTCACAAGAGTTTGAGTGTGTTTCTATGTGTGTTCGTTGGTTTGTGTGTCTTTGCGTGCGTGTGTATCTTTGCGTGTGTGTGTGTGCCTTTGCGTGTGTGTGTGTGTGTGTGTGTATTTCTGTCCTTTTGTGTGTGGGAGTTTGCTTGCGTACTTGCGTGTATGCATTTGTATATGTGTTTATGCGGGTATGTGTGTGCGCGCGCGTTCGTCTGAATGTGTGTGTTAGTATTTGCGTGTGTGTGTTTGTAAGTGTGTGTGTTTGTATGCGTTTCTTTGCATGCGTTTGTATGTCTTTGTACGAGTATATTTTTGTGTGTTTTGTGCGTGCACTTGCTTGGTTGTGCGTGCGTGCCTGTATTTTGTGTGGGCGTTTTGTCATTTTCTTTTGTCATATGCGGAGAAATATCTGAACTGGAGTTACTAAATTCTCATTGTCCAGCCTTGACAGAATTCAAAGCCGTTTACGTGACCTTGTGGGTGATGAATTATTTCCCCTTCTACAAACCCTTCCCCCTTCACATATCTCGGTATTCTATCACTATCTTCATGGCAAATGTTCAGACGAGCTACATTCCTTAGTTCCACCAGTTCAGAACTTCACATCTCGGACCCACCATACTAGGCAGGTGATTCATCTTCATTCCCTACATACTCCATTAGTAAAGAGAGCGTTTTCCTGAAAACTGTTACTTTGTGGGACAGACTCCGGAGAGGATGCTTCCGACTTCACAACGACCTTAATCTCTTCCAGTCTAGGTTCAACCATTATCTATCCAACTGATCCTCATCAGATGCATTTCTTACTTTTTACCTGTAGTCCCTTTCAACAACTTCATTCATCAACCCTCTGCCTTGAGTGGCTCTTGGGTCTTGTATTGGGTAAACAGAAGTATTTAATTTGGGTTAAGTAAAAATCACATTGCTCGGCACTCTTGTGCTATAGGTATAATTGATTATAATTATAAATAAATTGTTGATCCCAAGGGTAGGGGTGAGGATTACCTGTTAATCCGAGGTTGAGATAAGATTATTTGAAGTTCTTTTGACAGAGGATTATGCATCGACTCTGTGGAAAGCAATAAAATGGCTGTATAATCAGCTAAAGAATTTTTTTTCTTCTTTTTTGCACACAATTTCTCATTGGTGTAAGTATGTACATACATCTACTTGTGTCTCTGTACTGTTTGCCTATATGGAATATAGGCAAACAATATATATAGAAATATGTATAGGATTTAGCTGGAGATTCGTCTCCAGCTAAGCTAGTTAAACTTTCTGCCTTCGAGCGGAGAGGAACCCAGACGAGGTTATGCCGAATGGCAGAGTCACGTCTGGGGTGGTTTTTAACGTGGTCTACGAGGAATTTTTGCCCGAGCCTACGGGCTCGGATACCCCACGTTAAATTCGGTCTTGTGCCATATCTGACTGCGTGGGGCGGTTGACAAATATCCTTGCACTCGTTTGAACTGTGTGCAATCATGGCTGCCTGTTGCCACTATTAGAGGGGGAAGAGAAGCTGACTTTTTTCAAGGGGAAATTAAAAGGATGCGTACAGAATTTATCTTAGCTTGAATTGTTTACATTGTCTTTTTACATATGAACACCTTGTATATAATTCAAATCGAGAACATACTTCGATTAGTAGGTGGTCATTTACAATACACAATATATCTATCTATCTATCTATCTATCTATCTATCTATCTATCTCAGCCTGTTCATATCTATCTATCTATCTATCTATCTATCTATCTATCTCTCTCTCTCTCTCTCTCTCTCTATATATATATATATATATATATATATATATATATATATATATATGTAAAGTCATTCGCCCCAAGCAAGGCGGGAGGGTCACGAGCACGCAAGGGGTTACAGAGGATTGAGAACAAGAATAACGAGGCGTGTTTGAGGAAGGGATAGGGAGAAGGACGGGGGAACAAGCTCAAGGTATCAGGTATATTATACTTGAATATTTGAAGATTATGATCATCAGGGAAGCAAGTAAGGGGAAGGGAGTTCCACAGACGGGAAGTGCGGAAGAAGAAACTGAGAAGAAGAGACGGTTATATCTAATCGTTTTGACAGTGAAAGGGTGGGACCGAAATACTCGTCGGAACAGTTGCCGGTACGTCTGTGAGAAAGCGACTATAGACGAGATGCCAGATCAGGGCCTATCACATTGCATATTCTCCTCTGGATTTTGTCGAGAACCTCGAGACGTACAGCGGGAGTACCAGTCCATATATGACAGCAATATTCCATGCAAGGACGAATGGTTGATTTATAGATTTAAAGGATGGACTCAGACGAGAAAAACTTTCTGCCATGATACAGAGAACCAACTTTCCTTGCAGTAGATGAAGCAATTGATTCAATGTATTTATTTCACCTCATCTCAGTGAACAGCGTGGGACCAATCAGGGTAACGAGGTGCTCTCGAGGAGTTGGAAATCAGCCATTCTGATGGGAGGCAGGGAGGGTTCTCTGTGGTGGCTAAAGGAGAACAGTTTCATTCTCATAAAAATAGACACAATATATTTATATTGCCCAACGAATATATATATATATATATATATGAAGAAAATATCTGGAAAAACAAAACAAAAATCCTTAAAATGCGATTATGTTGTTTTAATATGAATGAAATGTCGACGTCTGATGTTTCGGTTTAATAACCTTCTTCAGGACAATATTCATTAAAAATACAATTAACATAATCAGTTATTACTTGTTTTTACGTCCATCGTTTTCGTCGTGTTATACTGATTATGTTAAATTGTATTAAACCGAAACGTATTTGCTTTTAAGGATCCAGATATATATATATATTTATATATATATATATATATATATATATATATATATATAGTCATCCACAGATAGACTGTTTCGCTGTATCACAGTTCATCAGTGTGACTAGACGTCCGGTTACCTCTAGCTAGGATCGAGACGCGGCTGAATTGGCGTCAGTCGGAGATTCTACCCCTAAGCCGTTGGCGGACGGCAGGGATGAAGGTGAATTTAAGCGTATTTATTTTTAGATAAGCAAACAGTGACTGAGAGAACTCTATTCGCTTTACCGAAGAGTCTTGCATTATTAGCAGTAATAGTCACTGTTTATATATATAGCCGTATGTGAAATGTCACTTCCTTTTTTTCCATTTGTTTGAGAAAAAATTCCTTCACCAAACTGCTATCACCAAGCACTATTGTTTCACTCCATCATCTTTTTGCTTTATGTATATTTTTTCTTAAACAAATGGAAAACAAGGAAGTGACGTTTCACACACGGCTTGCTTACAAGGAGAATTGTTCATAACCATTTTTGGTTCTCACTAGTTGAGGTGCAATTGAAATGCACCGAAACGAAGTTGCATCTTTGTAGTGAGTAAACTGTTTTTGTCTAAATGATAAAATTATAATAAATAATTATTGGTCTACTATCGGTATCGAGCCCTTTTTGAATTGATGCTGTGAACGTTAGAATTTATAAATTATTTTCATTTTATTTATATATATATATATATATATATATATATATATATATATATATATTTCTCAGAATTAACTATTTCAGTGAAATCGGATTTTATTAAAAAAAAAACAACTCATTTCTATTTCTGTTCAACATGCTGAATGCGTGTTTGAAGTATAGACATTTCTAATTTTATAATTTTTCAAATTTGATTCCCTTTCAGAATCCCGTTAATAATGAATACAAAAAACGCATCTTTGCTGCTTCCATCTCTGGATATCTTCACATGGGGTTCTATAAAAACAAAGTTTTATTGCCAAAAGATCTATAGTTTAGCTGAGTTTAAAGAACGTATCCAATAAGCAGTCCAAGAGAGAACACCTGAAATATTTCAAAATGCGTTTCGCAACATTTAGGATAGATTTGAAATTGACAGGGAAGCAAACGGAGCAAGTGTTGATAATGTTTAATGATAATGTTGATAATGTTTAATGATAATGTTGATAATGTTTTGACATAAGCTTTATAAATGTATTTGTTTTGTAGCATAATTAAGTATTAAAAACAAAACTGTGTCAGTTTCTTTTTAAAAAATTTTCCCTATCTCATTCAGATAGACAGTTAATACTCGGTCGGACACCATATATATATATATATATATATATATATATATATACAGTGTAACTCGGATATAAGAGACCCGGATATAAGAGAAACCCGGATATAAGAGAGATTTTCTCTGGTCCCAAATTAGAGCCTGTGTTAATGTATACATATAGACCAAACCCGGATATAAGAGAAACCCGGATATAAGAGAGATTTTCTCTGGTCCCAAATTAGAGCCTGTGTTAATGTGCACATATAAGACCAAACCCGGATATAAGAGAAAACCCGGATATAAGAGAAACCCGATTTTTTCTGGTCCCAAATTAGAGCCTGTGTTAATGTATACATATAGACCAAACCCGGATATAAGAGAAACCCGGATATAAGAGAGATTTTCTCTGGTCCCAAATTAGAGCCTGTGTTAATGTATACATATAGACCAAACCCGGATATAAGAGAAACCCGGATATAAGAGACTTCTTCTCCGGTCCCGACTGCTCTCTTATATCCGGGTTACACTGTATATATATATATATATATATATATATATATATATATATATATATATATATTTTTTTTTGAATCTGTAGTTTACCGACGAAAAGCACTTATCACAATAATTATTCATATTTCGGCATAATCTCTTTCCTTGTGAATGTACTTAATTCAGATCGAACGTTAAAGGGTGTAAATTTGATAGTGAAATTCAAGTCAGAACGATGGGCTAGGCTACGAACTTATTGACCCCCTTGGTAAGCCCCCCCTTCCTCGGAGACATTTTTAATATCAGGTAATCAGAACGAGATGTTTGAAAAAAGGAAATCTAATTTACAGAAACTCGGGTAAGGGCACTGACTGAATTAGACAGATAGATAGATAGATAGATAGATAGATAGATAGATAAAACCGACTTAAACAGAGAGAGAAATCAATATAGATATATAGAGAGAAATAGATCAACATAGATAGATAGATAAAACAGACTGAAATAGAAAGAGAGAAATCTGCATAGGTAGAGAGAGAGAGAGAGAGAGAAAGACATCAACATACATAGATAGATAGATAGATAGATAGATAGATGGAAATAGAAAGACAGAGAAATCAACACAGATAAAGAGAGAAAGAGATCAAGATAGATAAAACAGATTGAAAAAGAAAGTGAGAGAAAGAGATCAACACACACATAGAGAGAGAGAGAGAGAGAAAGAGAAAGAGATCAAGATAGATAGATAGATAGATAAATAGATATATAGATAGATAATGAACAGACTGAGCTAGTTATCTCGCCAGCTAACCTGATAGATATATATGAAGAAACTGATAGATAGATAGATAGATAGATAGAAAGAAAGAAAGAAAGAAAAAGGAAGGAAGGAAGGAAGATATTGATTAAAGTGTGGAATGGTTACATTGATATTCTCAGAGGTCATGGGAGGGGTAATTATATAGGGCATCGCTCAGAAATATGGTGAGGGATTGTAAGCTATTCAGCCTGTGAGGGGATCATGGCGAATTCCTTTTCTAGAAAGTATGCAGGGGTTGCTTCTGCCTATTTAAGAGTGATGAACAAATATTTTATTATTACAGCGGCTGAAAAGAAGGCTTACTGATAAGAAAAAGTAATTAATTTCTTTCGTTAGAAAATAAAAACGTTAGAAACAAAGAAAAGGTCGCTGAATTGCTACTTCATATCAGTCTTCCCCTACGACAATGAATGCCGAACAATTTCATCATAGATGAAAATGAGACTTAAAGTGACAAAGATATAGTTCATTTATTTTCTTACTGTTAGTTCGCCAACGCTAGTCCTGGGTATGACGATAAACTACATCCGGCAGCGAGGCCTCTGATCAGGAGGTTTTGAGGAGCGTAGAACCACTCTCAATTGCTGTTGTTCCCAGGTCCACCCTAACCCGGGGTGGTAGCACCTGTTAGGGTCCCAGCTATGGGCAAATAGTGAACCCAAAGACAAAACACTATGAAAGTGTAAAATGCATTTTTATACTAAAAATACAAGCAATACATTTTTATATAAAAGATTACCAGCAATGCATATTTATAGTAAAACCAGCAGGCTTCGCCCGCTCGCTATCTCTTCGTAAAGTAAGATATATTCACTATATTAAGAAATGGACAAAGCCCGACAATTTATTTATTAAAGACATTTTTATGTTTAACGTTCTTTTTTTATAGATACAAGTATTTAAGTAAATGCTCTGTTTATAATAAACAATATTAAATAACATTTACCGGCCTGAATGTCCGAGAAATTTTCATAGAAAATATTCGTTCTTTGACATAATTCGAACCTGCATCCTATACGGAACCGTCATTTACGCTGACGTGCCTTACCGATCGGCCACAAAGCAGTTATGAATGTACGAGATTCATGGAAGATTGAAGTTTATAAGCAGTAAATTCGACCTTGTCTACCGAACGCTTCTTTGTGGCCGATCGACAAAGAAGCGTTCGGTAGACAAGGTCGAATTTACTGCTTAGACGTAGATAACACATAATATAGATATTGAGCTTTTAGCTGGTAAATTTCGTGGGCGAATTGAGCCCCAATTTCGCATTTAATCATGTCGACTCGATAATATAGGTTTTACTTAATTATCTATTACCATTCGCTAACTCTTGAAAGGCTGAAATCTCTCTATATAAAAGGCAGGATGTGTGTGCTTGTGTAACGAATGCACGGCCGCAATTTTCGACGGATTTGCACCAAAATTTACATGAACATGCTCCAAGTTATCGGGAAGGCCAAGACCGACTTTGCATTTCCCAACTCCGATCGATAGTGGAAATAATCGATTTTTTTTCATGCTTCTACGTCAGTTTTCATATTGTTTGCGGCCATTTTCTACTGGCCAGAGTGAGAGACAATAGCTGGCTGCCACGAATAGACAGGAAGATTCTATTGGCCAGCGTGAGAGCCAACAGCTGACTGACACGAATGTTAACTAGCATGCTAGCATACAAAAAAAAATCGATAGCTGCATTCGTCACAAGTGGGGAAAATTTAAATCTGCATGGCACTTTACTCCAATTGGCTCATTCGCTTGCTTAAACTCAACGTTGATTCTGATTCCGCAGAACTGGGTTGGGTGTGAAAAACTATTTGTTGTTAACATTCTTTTTTCATTCGGTTTTTCCAGTTACGAGTCCTTTTTAAAGCTGATCGTTTTGTGTTCATTTTGTTTAGTTCTTTTTTTTGTAACAGATTTAATGTTTAGTATAGAGCTTAGAAAAATTCGCAGTGTGAGATAGGCAAAGAAGTAAGGCATGTAGCAACATCAGCACGGCAAAGGGAACTCCTTTAAAGGCAAGGAAGGGCAAAAATATTTTAAGTCAAGTATAATCGATTGCTGTATGAGTCGTAAGATTTTTTGAATCGTTGGCAGCGCCGGGAAGATGCTTTTATAAAATTCTAATTTCTATTTTCCCAAAATTAATTTTATCTTATAAATTGTCCGCTAAATCATCCATAAAATAAAAAATAAATTGTTTGTACGAAAATAAGGATCTACGTTCATCAAATCGTTTAAATTAAATGCCAGAAGAATTATCGTTGAACTTTTAAAAGGTAAAATTAATTCAATGATAAATGTAGCGATCATTTTGAGTCCTTTTTGTACTTTATTGATGCCTATCGCATCTGCTCCAGATATTGTGATGATGGCCAAAACCAAGAATCCTCCAAAGAACTAAAAACCCGCCCTATCAGGCGGCATTTAAGCTTGTTTATGAAAAAAAAAATGTTCACTACAATTTTGGATACAAAAGGAAAATAATTATAATTATGCCACTATGAAATCAACGATAATGGCTAGTATAATGTATTAATATATATTTTTAATCTCGCATAATCTGGCAAATCTGAGCTCAACAAAATCGTTCCCAACTTTTCTAAGACTTTTGAATGAGCTGTGAATCATTGAAATCAGTCCAATAGGAGAGGAGGAGTTGCTTGACATACACACGGACAAACACTGTACTTTATATGTAAGATGTAATTTTAATTCTATAAAGCTTATGGTTATATCACGCTGAAACACCTGTTCCTGTACGATCATCGAAGTCGAGCCTGACACAAAAGAAACGTTTGGGGCACCTGCGGAATTTGTGGTACAAAGAATAACACCTTCAAATTTGTGGTCAGGGAGACAAGTTTCAATTCCAGTCGGGTTTTGTTATATTCTCTTACGCGCAAATATACTTGGGAAATATATGAATACACCTCTCTACTTCCCTAGCTATGGGTTAACTTGATTTTTAAAATTGGCTTTGGTTGATAATTGTTTGTACGGAAAATAAGGATCTACGTACATAAAATCGTCTTTAAATTAAGTGGCAGAAGAAGAATTATCGTTGAACTTTTTAAAAGGTAAGCTTAAATATTAATTCAATGCTTAAATGCAGCAATCGATTTTGAGTCCTTTTGTACTTTATTGATGCCTATCGCATCTGCTCCTCCCTAGATATTGTGATGATGGCCAAAGCAAGAGTCCTCCACAGAAGCTAGCTTTAATGTCGCCAGATACGGCAGCTTTTAAGCTAGCTTAAAATTTTAATCTAGCTGCAATTTTGATACAAAAGGAAAATAAGAGTTACTCCACTTGAACCATGAAAGCAACGATAATGGCTAGTATAATATATTAATATATATTTTTAACCTAGCATAATCTGGCAACCCTGAATCTGAACTCAACGAAAATCGTTCCCTGTGCCTAACTTTTCTAGGGTTTTTGAATGAGTTATGAATCATTAAAATCGGACTAGTGGGAATGGAGGAATTGCTTGGACACACACACATGCACATTATATATAAGATTACCAACAACACATTTTTAAAGCAAAATGACCAACAATACATATAGTAAAATGACCAATACACTTTTAATGTAAAATGACCAACAATACATTTTACTTGCAGTTGAGCGTATACAATTGTGTTCAAAATATATTTAGTTGAGGACATAAAATTGTGTTCAAAATATTTAGATCTCTGCATTAAATAACCCATAAAGGTGTTGATATGTTGCTAAACAAAATCAAACAACCAATACAAGACCCAAGGGCCAATCAATGTAGAGGATTACTGAATGAGATTTTTGTAAGGGATGGAGAAGGAGGAAGTAAGAAATGCATATGACGACGTGAAAAAAAAAAAAAAAAAAATAACGGTTGACCCTAGACGTAAAGTAACCACGATTGTAGCTGTCAGAGGAGCATCTTCGCGGGAGTCTCTTCTGCAAAACAACAGTTGTGGCGAAGGTTCTGTTTGAGTGGAACTTTCTCCTTATTAAAGGAACACAAAAGGAATAAGGATGATTTGCTATCGTGAATGTATTATGGTGGGTTCTAACTGTGAAGGTCTTCACTGGTTGAACGAAGGTATATAACTCGTTCGATCATCTGACATAATAATAGCTATATAGTAGTAAAGCGCTGGCGACGTTTCGTCTGTGGGATAAGGTTACAGGATGGAGAATATTGCATCACCCATAAGGCCGCGTAAGGCTGGACAGAACCAGTATATTAAGAATACCATACGCGGAAGACATAAGCAAAGAGGAAAGTGGAAGGAAAATGACATCGAAAAGGAAATGTATACTTACAATCAGAAAGAAACAGATGAAAATTCATAAATACATGATAAAGAAAGATGGCTTGGAAAATTTAACCTCCACAGGATATATTGAATGCGTATAGAGTAAAGGAAAACAGTGAATAAATGGATGAAGGATCAAGTACTGGCAGAGAAGATTAGGGGATAAATATTACCTAGAACTACAAAGGAAGTGGTGGAGGTCACGATGGAAAAATGGTCCAGCACTCCCATTCTTATACTCATTCTACAAGAGTCAGATCAGACCGAAAATGGAGCATTGCAGTCATATCTGGGCTGGAGCAGGCCAATTATCTATCTCCAGCATTGGTAGAGTCCTTCTGTTCCCATTCAACCTTACAAGAACCAGATCAAACCAAAAATATAGTATTGCTGTCATATTGGGACCGGAGATGGCCAATCCTCCCTTTCCAGCCTTGATAAGAGTCCTTCTGCCCCGCCTTCATCCTTACTAGAGTTAGATCAAATCAAAAATGGAGTATTGCAGCCATATCAAGACTGGAGCTGGTCAATCAACATTTTCCAGCCTTGATAGAGTTCGCTTGTATCTTTTCACCCTTATAAGAGTCAGATCAAACCAAAAATAGAGTATTGTTGTCATTTCTGGGCACAAACTTTACATTCCATCTTTACTAGAGGCACAAACTTTACATTCCATCTTTTGCTAGAGGCGTTCTGCTCAACCACTCATTCCAGCATGGATAGAGTCTTTTTACAATCCTTACAAGAGTCAGATCAAACCACAAACAAATGGACTATTGCTGATATAGCTGCGCTGGAGCTGCCCTAGAGCTGCCCATTCCACTCATTCCAGCATGGATA